ATAAATATACATTTGAATAGCTGCGATGACTGCACTGCTGTTGTCTGATGGTGTATTGAAATGAACAGTTAATGCTCACAATTTTTCATGTTCTGATCGACTTTGCATGCTTGTGTCTGGTGGTCTGAGCAATTGATTTGAAGGGAACAATATGCAATGGAATTACAATGGTGAACTCTTACCATCTTGTCTAGTGAAACTCTCTAATATCTCTAATGTTTTATTAAAGAATTATTTTCTTAGTCTCTTTAATAGTTTGAGCAATCTTTCATTCTACATCTGATAATCTGAGCAATGTAGTTGAGGATAGCTGTAAGCAACGTAACAACCACTGTTGAGGGGGCTGGGGATTTAGCTCAGCGGCACAGCGCCTGCCTGGCAAGTGCAAGGTAGTGAGTTCAATTCCTGGTACCGGAGAAAAACCAAAACCAAAACCAAAAAAAAAAAAACCACTGTTGAATTGCATTAGTCTTGAGACCCTGTATCACTTTGAATGTTTTTGCTTTGATTTGTTTGTTTGTGATACTGGTATGCTGCTACTGTTCTATTTTTTTGTTTGTTTTTTTTCTCATGTACTACTCTCTTTAAAATAAAAAAATAAAAATATTTTTTAAAAGCCCAGAATAGTAAGGCCATGTAAACAACTTTGGTGAGTGTGCTTTTGGATGGAAAATAACAGAACAAGGAAATCCTGCATCATCAGGTTTTTCAAAGGAAATGAACAAGGCGCTTTGGGGTTTTTTCTTTTTTCTTTTTTTTTCTTTTTTTGTCTTTTTGAGACAAGGTCTCACTCTGCAGTTCGGGATGGTCTTGAACTCATTTTGTAGCCCAAGCTGGCCTTGAACTTGCAATGATCCGCCTGCCTCAGCCACCTGAGTGCTGGGGTTACAGGTGTGAGCCACCACACCCAGATATTGGCACTTTTTTGGTAAAAGAAAAAAAAAAAAACTTTATAACCGATATATAAAAATTTAGTAAATTTCTTTTACAGCTGCTATATATAGATATATATATTCCTATTCTCTTCCATAGGATTTAAAACAGTTTCTAAAGAAATACATACTATACCAAGATCACATTAAATGTAGGTAAAAATCTGTTGCAAAGAAAAAAATTGATAGAGATATAATGCAGAGCTAGGAATGAAGTTAATGCTGAACGTATACAATGAAATCCTATACACTTGCTGAGTATCAAGCAACAAATTTGATTCTAAGTTTTCTACCAGCCAATAACAAGATACAAATGTAATCAAGCACAAGATTCATAGTCACAGTTTAAACACAAACTAATTGCTGGTAAGAAATATATTTTCTAAGACGGTAGCTCCCCCCAGTTACCCCCAGTTTTGCTTTCCTCAGTTTTTGTCATCTGCAATCAACCAATCTAAAAATATTAAGTGAGAAATTCCAGAAATAAACAATTCGTAAGTTTTAAATTGCCAGCCATCTTAGTAGTTGGAGGAAATCTCACAGCCTCCTGTTCCACCCTGCCTGGGACGCGAGTCATCCCTCTGTGGCGTGGATCCGCGCTCACTGCGGCGCCTACCTTTTAGTCACTTGGTAGCCAGCTGGTTATCAGATCAACTGTCAAAGTTTGGCGCATACACTTTGCTGCTTAATGTTTAGCAAGGGTGTAGGATTTCATTGTAGACATCACAGTGTCTTCATCGTTCACCTCACTTCATCCTGTCGCGGAGCCACGAATTATTTCACCTCATCACAAGAAGGGCGAGCACAGTACTGTATGGTACTTTGAGAGAGACCACATCACATAAACTCTTATCATATTATGATTGTGCTATTTTATTCTAAGTTGCGTTGTTGATCTTTTACTGTGCCTATTTTATTTTATTTATTTTGGTACTGGGGATTGAACCCAGGGCCTCATATATGGATAGTAAGTATGTGTTTTGCTGCTGAGCTGCCCTCAAAAAAAGAAAAGAAAAGGCTGGTTTTTTTTTTCGTTTATTTCCAAGATAGAGTCTCACTGTTGTTGTGCCTAATTTACAAATTAATTTGATCACAGGTATGTAAGTTTAGGAAATAGTGTGTTGTATATGTAAGGTTTGGTACTATCTGCAGTTTGAAGCATCCCCTGGGATTGGGTCACTCCCAGTGAATAAGGGGAACTATTGTGTATTAAGACTGGATAATAATTTTTTCCCAAAAGTCTTAACTAATAGGCTATCATGTAGGACAATGAGCAGAAATTTCACCAGTGAGGGGTTGGGGATATTTTTAGTGCAAGAAGTAGCAATGTTGTGAGTTTGTGAGTTATGGAATATTTTTTACTATTTTGCTTATGTATTTACAAACATGTCACATGTACACTGGGACTGTTCAAGATATAAAAAAGGAAAAAAAGGAAACTTTAATTTATTGGGTACTCTCCATAGGCCAGATTAGATGAAAAGTGCTTTATGAGTTCTCTAATTTCAGCAGTACTTTAAGGAAGTCTCATTTTACAGATGTGTACACTGAGAGGTGACTTGTGCTAGCAAACCAGGCTGGCATTTAGTTCTCTTGGAACAACGTTCTTCAGCCTAAAGCTTTTCCTTTTGTTTTATACAGAAGTTGGCAACTCCCAGAGACTCCTTATTTATATTAATTGCCTCAAGAATATTAATAAAACTTCAAGGAATTTCTGAAACTTCCTTCTGAGCACTCTAGGGAAACAAATGGAACCAAATATAGCAAAAATAGTCACTGCCCCAACTAGCACATAACTTAATGTGCTACTCCTGATATTTTGATTGGGTAAGTATATATTGTAAGTAAATGTGACAGTTTTTCTGTGGCCATGATTCAAGTAGTTATGTTTTCTTACCTATTTTAAAGACTACATTATGTGCTCGCTTCGGCAGCACATATACTAAAAAAAAGACTACATTATATTTTGTCATGGTCTTTGTGTAGAATAATGAATTACTTGATTCTTTTAAAATTTTAAATCTCCAGAACTAAAACAAAACAAAAAACCCTCTGCATTGGAAATTCACTATCAGGCGGAGAGATAGAGAAAGGCATAGGACTTGATATACATTTCCTAAAATTCAGGAGCCTTTCAAAATTAACCTTCCCTCTTCTGTGACCCCCTTTCCCCCTGGTCTGCAAGAGAACATGAAATCCATAGATATAATGACAGATTCCAAACCAACTAGACATCACTTTGAGAAACAAGGATGATCATTAGAAGTAGAAAACAGCACACGAAGGTCCGGGGATATAGTTCTGTGGTATAGTGCTTGCCTAGTATGTGGAAGGTCCTGGAGTTGATCCCTAGCATCAAAAA